AAGCGTCCAATTCTCGCTTGGTAAGCTACCATCTGTAGCGGACTCTGAAATGACAAAAGAAATACTGAAGACGAGGTACACAAATAAAACTCACTATCGTAGCTTATCTAGAGCAATATTGGTACGTGATAACGCTTTTATTTACAGTTAAATTAATCCGTTAAAATGGAAGAAAATATGTAGAATATATCATGTTTGGAGTATGTACAAGTTCTTAGGGTACATAAAAAATAAAAAGGATATAAATACCCTCGATGTAATTCAACTCGCGACGTGGGTAAATAAAAAAAGATAGACTCACCGATCTTTTGCCCTACTGGCGTGGAAAAGGGGTTGCTTACTCCGAAAAGTGACATTTTCTCGTGGCGCGTAGTAAGACCTGCCTTGTCAATCGCCGCGTTTTCTCACCGTCCGCACTCGCTCACTCGCATACGTATATGGGAAACGCGGTCGCGATAATCGCTCGACGCAGCGATGACAATTGGCGCACACTGACAATTTGTCAATTTCGCGTAACACCGATTGACAGAATCATATGATACGGTACGCAAAACGCCGTACGTATGTACATGCATACATACAAGACACGGAATCGCGAATGTCACGAAACCGCGCGGCCACCAATCAGCGCTGCGCAAGATAGGTGCGAAACGCCCTTTAAATACGGTCCCCCATACACGTTTCACCGTTGCACTCGTCGCGAGTGCAGGAGGTGCAGTTGAAAGACGAAGGCCAGAAGAGCTCTCTCGATCTGCGCGTCATTCGCTCCGTGATGATTCACTCGCAGCCAGCGTGCAGTATGGTAATGTAGGTAGTAGGTAGTAGGTAGTAGGGTAGGGACTGCATCGCGTAGAAAATGAGAACCAATCAGATGCATTATCCGGCACGGCGTTATGACGTTATTTTGCCGCACTAATTGCGAATCGTGCCGAATAATTGGTATATATTTTCATACGTAAGTATCATTTCGCCGTCCGCGTTTGCAATTGATATATTGAACGAGAAATATTTTTTTTAACTGCGATGATATTTCAGGTAAACGACGGCGATTGAAATTTTTGTGAGTTTATCATCAGCTGATCGCGATAATTGCAACGATTTCCATGTGAGGGAAAAACATCGGATCGCACACATTCAGGTATATACGAATTTTCATTATTCAAATAAGTATATACGTACCGATAATGCGCGTAAAGCGATATAAATGCAATACTTGATTATATAAATGCCGTTTTATTTCGCAGTGTCGATGTAAGCTACGCCAGACTCCTTCATGACATCAGCGGAACATTTTATTAGTCTTATAACAGTAGCAAGTGCAAAGAAATTAGCTACTGCGCTTGTTATCTGTTTTATTATATATCATGGAGTCATACATCTTATTTATGGTATAATAGAAAATAATTTTATCTGATTAATTTATTTATCTATCTTATATGTTATCACATATAATATAAAGTTTTGAGATAAACAATTTTTGTAAATTTTATAATGCATGATTTTATCAAAAACAGTAATATTATTTTAATTCTGCGTAAACTTTTTTTATTATTTTTAAATTTTCTTAAAAATATTTTATTTTCGTCACATATTTCATTGGCAAAAATCTATTTCCACAGGTAGTGATTCTTGCAAATGGCTATTGACAGAAGGTAGATACAAAGGAGATAAAGAATGGCAACCGTACGGTTGCATGATGCATCACTATACACAAACGTAAGATTATTATCTTTAATTTGCTTTAGAGATTAACTTTTCCATGTATAAAGAAGATTTGCATCCTTTTGTAGAGACAGCAGAAGATGTATGAGATATCTAGCTTTTATGGGCCACCATAATCATTTTGTATTCATTGGCGATGCTAGAGTAAGACAATTGTATAAATCTTTTGTTTCGCAATTTATGATTGATGGCAAAGCATCAGATCTCACAGAGTTGCCGGAAAACTCTGACTTGGGCTTTAACGACGGGCAGCTTAAATTAAATGTACAGTTCTTATGGCGACCACGACTCGACAACTCTATGATAGCAAACATTAGAGGCTGGATGGTAATGTGTTATATATTACACAGCGAAGAAATATGTATACGAAATTATATATAATTGGAAATAATAAAATTTCTATAATTCGACATTACAGCAAACGGAGGCGCCTAGTGTAATCGTCGCGGGTTCTGCCGCAGCTGTGATTCTTGCAAACAATAATAGTGATACACAACTCTACTCGGCATACAGCACGAGTTTAATTCGGCTGGTGCAACCGGTAGATTTTCTGGCTAAGAAAGGATCTCGATTTCTCTGGCTCTTGCAGGATCCTGTACTCAAGGAAAGACTGCCTGCTCAATTGTCGAGTTTGGACAACAAACAGATCAACTTGTGTAATAAAGCGGCCGAGAAGGTAATATATCGATGAAATGTAGTTCACTTGACAAAATATAGAGGAAAAAAATTAATAAATGTTCTATAATCGCCGCGTACACAGATATTGTCTCATAGTGAGGCTCATATATGGCAAAGTAGCAAACTAGTCGGTATGGGTGTTTTGGAACAAAGTCCAGATGGTTATTTGGCTAGTCCATTATCGCTCCGTCATAAAGTTCAAATACTATTAAATACATACTGCAATGATCATATGAATTTCGATGATGGAAGCTGTTGCAGTTACCCCGAACCGGCGACTACTCTACAACTGTTAAGTCTATCTGCGCTTGCATTATTGTAATTAAGTATTTAATTTATTATTTATATGTTCTATATAATATATTTTCTTTTCAAAGAAAGTAAGTGATAATCTGTTATAGTATAACAATAGGAGGAGGAGTGTGGTTATACAGAAACATGTGCAAGTATCGTTCTGAAATATCTTATTCTCATGTTACTGCTGAGGAAGTAGAGGATACAGAAGAAGCAGGTGCTTCAGAAGTTATACAAATTAAACAACCTGAGATACAAGATTTCTATACTCTTATTACATCATTGGCCCTCTTTTCTATTATATTAACATATTTTTATTTATGCGATAGGCAAGTAATGACATACTTAATATGAATCTGTAGTTTTATCCTTGTTATATATTTTTAATAATTTTCTATTTTCTTATTTTTCACTTACAGAACAAATTTCTTTATGAAGGAGAATAAATATTACAGTGAGTTCAGTTTCTGGTTACCACTAGGATATATCTTGGCTCTTGGATTATTTTTCACCGAAGATCGTGAAAGAGGACCAAGAGTATTAAATAGAGAGCAAACGGATGAATGGAGAGGCTTAATGCAAGCGGTTGTGCTCATATATCATGTCACTGGTGCCAAAAATGTTCTACCGATTTATATGTACTTAAGATTAATTAATTCTGCCTACTTATTTCTGTCTGGATATGGACACTTTTATTATTTTTGGCAAACCGGCGACGTGTCTCTTGTCAGATTTGCTAGAGTATGTATCAGAAAAGTTATACGATTGATAATCTTAAATCGTTAAAATTACGTTTTACGCTTACAGTTAAATATAATTGTTGTGTGTTTTAGGTCATGTTCAGATTAAATTTATTGACAGTATCGTTATGCCTTTGCATGAACAGGCCGTATCAATTCTACCATTTTGTACCATTGGTGTCCTTCTGGTTTCTAGTGATTTACTTTCTGGCTTGGTTACCACCCAGAATATATTCCGGAAGTTTAGCGGAATATGGACCGAGAGCCTTACTGTATTTTGCTTTGAAACTTTTGGGTCTTGTGTCGATAATTACTATATTATATATGTCAGAGGTAATAAGCAACTTTCATTAGAGAATATGTTCAAAGTATAATACCTGTCTTTATCAGTACAGGTATTTTTTGAGAAAGTTTTTGTCACAAGGCCTTGGAAAGCGCTATTCGTGACGACTGACGATGACATTCGCGAATGGTGGTCTCGTTGGAGAGTCGACAGATATAGTGTAGTCTGGGGCTTGACCTTCGGAGCCGGTCTTATCGCACTTCAGAGATTAGATCATATTCCGGGCACTGCATTGTCCTCCGTGCTGGCGTTGATCTCCTTAATAGCGTATACTACTTTCACAATTTTGTGCCACTCTGTATCAGAGTGCGAGGAGATTCATTCTTATGTCGCTTTTATTCCGGTAAATTCTACCTTCTAACTTCTGTATTATTAATTATTCTTCTATTTTTCTCCCTCTTCTGCTTATTAACTTTTTTATTATTGCTTTATTATATCAATGTTATTTTTTGCTTCATTAGATTATAGGATATATCGCTCTTCGAAACGCATCATTGGCATTACGGGGAAAACATTCTGCACTTTTAGCTGGATTGGGTAGAATAAGTTTAGAGACATTAGTTGCGCAAGGCCACATATGGCTGGCAGCAGATTCACATGGAGTGCTTGTGTTATTACCCAGATTTCCAGTATTGAATTTGTTGGTTACATCTTTCATTTTCATCTGTGCCAGTCACGAAGTAATTATCTTAAAATATTTTTTGTATTAGAAAAAAACATAATTTTTCAATAGCAAAATAACAATTGATTTTTTCAATAATGAAAATTTTATCTTTCAGATTCATAGATTAACACATGTTTTAGCACCATATGCAGTACCAAATGATTGGAAATTAGTAGCTCGCAATTTGCTACTGTTTACAACTGTATTGGTACCTATTGGCATTCATGATGGAATGTTTTAAAAACTGGGAATGTTTAAAAAAATTCTTGCGATATTAATGTACAAGGTATGAAAAGACTTCATCAATTGGACTATCATACATAGGCAAATTAAAGCGATACGATTAATTAGGTAAACATATGCATCAAACAGCTTTTCTTATAATAAGAGATAAGAAAATTGCATATCATATCAAAATATATTAAAAAAATTATTGTATAGCATAAAATAAAATTTTTTTATTTTAGCCATCTTTTATTAGAAATGAATTTTTTAAAGAAATAGCTGTCTTTTTGTTTATTTATTTGTATATTTTATTTATATCATTTACAATTTATATTTATAATTTTACAAACTTATTCAGTTTTAATTATATAATAGATATATATATTATATACACAAAGTATGTACAATATATATATCCAATTAAATATGTTACAATAAATATGTCAGAGATTGAATTCTTAGTCCTGCCTGCAGGGAATTATTGTAAAAGTCACAAAAAACCTGCGATACAAGAGAAGCTTCCTACAAATTGACAAATAAGTTTATTTAATTTGTTACTTAAATTCTATTTCTGTTTGTAATCTCATTCAAATTGTTCTATTAACCAAAATATTATATTAACTATTAACTTCGTATATCGTGCTTTACATGGCTGGTATACACATCATAACCAAGAGATATCATATTATCATAAAGCACTCTGTACCGTGTGGGAAGAAAATAAAAATTAATGACTTGTGCTGGAGGCCATATGACCCATTCAGCTATGTACAATCTATGTGCCTTTTTTCGGACTTCATCTTTAAATTCTGCAAAGCTACTATTTTCTAGTACAGCTAGTGTCAAGAAAAACATACTTATACAAAGAGGTGAGCAAATCAATTGATCTACAACCACCTTTTTTAGAACTGTACTGATGGTGCGTCCAGCCATTTTAGTATCCAAGAAATTGTACCAATAATGACAAACTATACCAATAGACATGCCAGATATGGCCATGTTTCTTGTTCTGATAAAACTCCATCTATCCCATTCACCCTGCAAAGCATAGAGAAGAGTTGTTCGAATGTCATAAAAATTAGTGAATATATGTGATGATATAGGTCTATAATTAACAAACCTTTAATATCTCATAATGCTGCTCTAAAATGTCTCCTGTCCCAGAAAGAGAAATCGATATCCCTACATTCGTATATAGTAAGTTTTTAGGTGAGAATAAGCGTTCTTTTAAGTGATTTATTCTACCAAGAATTAATTCCATTCCTCTGGCAATATTCATTGTCTAAAAAAACAATGAAAATAATGGAAAAGGTAGAATTTATGAGATTCTACTTCGTTCTTATATTTTATATCAAAAGGTTCATTATTTTTTAAGGAGTTATAGTTGTCATAGTTGGAATCTTATAAAATTTAGGTGTAAACTTAAGGTATTTTATAAAACTTTATTGAAATATAGAGGATTGTTTGTGTATCTCACATATAATTAAAGTATACAAAGCTTCCTTATAATTATCATTTAAAAGTATGCTTCCAATTAAAAGAATTACATTTTTGATGTTAAGTAAAATTAAATTGATTCTCCGTTGTGAGAAATTTATCGAATTACTGTTATTTTCACAAATGAGAAACGCTTACCATCTTCTTTCCATAATATACCACTGTTTATTTAGATTTTATTTTACTTGAACAGATTTAATTATATTTAATTTCATACACTCAACACACATGGGAAGCATATTGCATGGGATACAATCATCAAACTCGATATGATTTCCGGCGCTCAAGGTGATATGTGATACTGGTGATAGCAGAAGATGACATTTCCGAGAACTATACTCTCCGAAAATTTCGAATTGATTGACCAATTGAAACCAAGAGAGCAGAGATATTTTTACTTTACTTTTACTAATTGATCAAACAAATGCATCAAACGGAGTGCTGCCTATATTTATAGACTGTACTGAGAGAGACAACAATATAAAGAAATATCTTTCTCGATTAACATTGTTGCCGCCAGAGTTCGTTTCAATATGCAGAAAATTTAACGATCTAAATATACGTCATCATCATTCCCAGTGCTCGACCGCTATCAGCTGATTCACGGCGTTGTTTCGCTGCCGAAGGGATAAAAAGGCGGGATTTCGGAACGAGGACGATATTAACCTCTTCGTGTGCTCCTTATCCGCAATATTACATTCGCAACTTATCATGTCGCAGCCCTTGGTAACGGCGTACTTTAATACGCGCAAACGGCAGGCGTGCGACGAGTTACGCGGTAAGTCTAAGGTTTTGCTACTGGAGCGAGATAGCTCGAGTAGCCAAGCGTTGACATATGCCGACGACTCGGAGCAGATCGCGATGGATGCGAAAGATGAGAGAAAGAGTCCGATAATTGTATTGAAAGATGCTCCCGCGAAGGAGGTCACTCGTGCCAATAAAGCGGTTCGCAATATCCAATTTGATTCTACGAAGGCGAGCCTCGAGAAAACTCCGAACAGGCCCAGAACGCGAGCCATGCGCTCGCGCGCGTTATCCTCCACCGATAGAAGCCAGCCGGATATCAGGGATAGTTTGCTGAAGGCGAACAACGACTCGGAGACTAAGAAAGTGCCCTTTGAGAAGATGGGTACGCTTAGTCCAAAAAAGAAGCCACGAACTCCCACGAAGTGCTCCGTCGTTCCAAAAGACAGCGTAATCGTGGAGGCAGAGAATGAACAATCTGCCAGTAGTTGTCCGCTCACTCCAACGTCATCGAGAAAGATTCCGATGGTGGAGAGACTCGCGAAGAATGATGACTTAAGCTTGACCGAAATCAAAAGCAGAATTCAAAAGTCCTCGAGATTAGGGGAACTGAAAGCTATAATACAACGAATTGCGAATCATGAGCAGTCGCTGGAGCAACTACAGAAGCAAAACGATATTAAGAAACCTGAAATGCAAAAGTTTGAGAAGATAGAACTTGAAATTCCTGTGAGGTAAAAAAATTTTGCTATATACTTAATAGTTGAGTAACATTCTCTTTTATATATATATATAAACAGTCCACAGAAGGGATGCAAATCTCCAATCAAGGCATTGCGAACTCCAACCAAGGATGCAGATCTTTCAAAGACGGCCAGTCCTCAGAGGAGAATTTTATTTGAGCCTAAAGGAACAACACCAAGTCCGATAAAAAGTAGTCCTACTAAGCCATATCAAAAGTATCTGTCATTGGCTGAAAGTGAGATACCTGGATTGGTGTTACCTTATAATTATAGATTCCTGGCTGAAGTATTCAGATGTGTTGATACGGTAATATCCTACAAAGTATTTTACAGCTTGCAACACCCTTATTCTGTATCTTCTCTACTTTAAATACTTTGTATCATTAACATGGTTTAAATCTATGTTTATAACTACAGATAAATTATTTGATCTTATCTTTAGGTTTCAGCAATGTTGTTCAATAGAAAGGAAGTGATAACATTCAATAAATTGAAACCTGCAGTTCAAGAGCTGGTGCGACGTAATTTTACATTGGAACATCTAGCTCAAATAAAAACTATTTATCCTGATGCATATACTTATCATCAAGAGAAGCTTCGAAATTTTGGTTCAGTATCGAAACAGGAGAGATATGAATTAGTTTTGATACCTGTGGTTGACAAAAATAATGGAAGAAATACTCCTGATGCGGATAATGTATTGAAGACTGCCTCTGAAAGTAACATGAGTCCTACAGTACTGCTTGAGAGAAGGAAGAAATTTTATAATATTTTATTAGGTACCACATACATATGTTTTAAATAGATTTATCTATTGGTGAATAGTAATTATATATATTGATCTTTAAATCGCATCTTTTTGTTACAGAGAGAGTGAAAGATGAGCATGAGAAATTTTTACTGAGCTGTGAAAGTCCAAGATTAATGAATATACCGAGAGAGAAAATAACACGCTGGCATCCCGAGTTTGATGTAGAGTCTTGCAAGAAAATTGAACAAGCCGAATTACCGCAATCACCTGTTGTCGAGAAGCCAACTGCTAAAGATGTTCTTGGTAAGAATTACGAGATATTTGCACGAAAATAAAAAGAATGCATAATGAGAAAATTTATTTTTTGTATTGTAACGTAATTAGAATATTCGCGTATATAACATTTTTCATATTATATACATTTATATATATATATAATCATGTAATATGATCTTAATATCAAACACAATAAGTAGGACAAAATATTGCACAATAGGATTAAACAATGCGTCCGCGTATTTGCGAAATATGGTTTTTACGTAGCTTTAATGTTGCAAAACTTTATTGATTAATCAGCATATAACGCAGTTGATATAAAAGTATTGCTTACATGTAATGCTTGAGCAGTTACATTATGCATTCTCACATTGTGGGTCATCAAAAATCTTTAATCAATAAATTAACTCTAGAAAATGGGCTTAAAATATCACTTAAAAGGGATCAAATTATTAGTAGAATATGTAAGCGTCTATCTTGTTAGTGCTCAATGAAACAAATTCGTAGAAGATTAATATTTGTTGATTGAATATTTTGTTTATTTCTCCTGTTTTTTGATAATTGCATTTTTATCTATTTTATTTAGATAAAGCTAAATCTTTGTTCAATTGTGGTACGCGCATGGAAAAAGCATTGCAAAGGCTGGCTGAAGCAAACTTAACTACAAAATCCAAAGACCCATCTTCTACGCAAGATTCTGTAACGCAAACCACAGAAGATGGTATTCGAAAGGTTAATATTACTATTATGGACACTCCACCAATTACGCCATCCACACAAATAAATCATATGAATACACTACTTAAAGGTATTCCCAAAGCTCTACTCGAGAAGGTAAGAATAATCATTGTAAGATAACAATTAACTTTTATTAAAATATATACTTTCTTAACATATATATTGGATCGCCATTCATAAATTGTAACATTTGTAGGTTCGCGCTAGGCAGGAGGCCAAAGCATTAGAAGCAATGACAAGAACGCCAAATGCGGATAAGGAGGCTGCATTATACTCCAGACTTCCCGAGTTAGCGAAGTTTCTTCGGAATATTTTCGTGGCAGAAAGAAAGGGCGTTTTGCCATTGGAGGCAGTGATACAAAAGTTAGACAATTCTTTCAGAATAAAATTAACATTGCAAGAAATGGAAGAGCATATACGGCAATTATGCAAGCTTTTACCTATGTGGGCCAGTATACATACTGTACGGAAAGTGAATTATCTGAAATTAGATAAAAATATTGAACTTGCAAAGGTAATTAAACGATTAGAGATTTTAGCCAATAATAAAGTCAAGACGACATCATGATTTGCAAATTCCACGCAACTGTATTTTAGAGGTAAATATACTTTCTCGAATAATAATAATGAAATCATTGTTTTATGAAAGTTAGGCAAATGCTTAATTTTTATTTAGATTTAGATTGTAATAGATGATTTTGAATGCATCTTTATAATATAATGATATCATCTGTTTCTTTTACACTTTACTTGAGTATTTTTAAATATTGGGAATTATGAAGCATGAGATAAACCAAAAAATGCGAATGTAAATGACATTTTATGTTGCTTACTTATCTATGTTTCCAATTTTATTACACAATTTTTGATTATTATACTTTATTATTGGTTTGAAGAATAAGATTGTGTATTTAATAAAATATGATATCATAATAGAAAAATTGAAATATGAAACTATTTTCATTAAATATGTATATCAATATGTAGTTAATATATCAAGTCAAGAATTCGAGTCAAATCATACAAATATTCTAAATTTTCTAAGTAAGACTACTGACAATGTATGTGTATATGTGTGTGTGTGTGTGTTTTTAATGCACTGCCTTTAATATTATGTTAATTAATAAAGCTATTATAAAATGTAACCACACATATCTATGTATGTGAATATTTAGTCCATATTAAATATCCACACACATATATAGTTAATAAAGCTATTATAAAATGTAATCACACATATCTATGTATGTGAATATTTAGCCCATATTAAATATTCACAGACATATAATTTGATTTGAATATATACAATTATCAATCCAAATCCTTTTGTGCAAATATTTAATTAAATTAAAAATTTAATTAAAATTAAAATTTATTTATTTTATATCTTTTGTTACAAAAAGATA